GAGCTAGGAGGTACTGTCAAGCTAGGAGGTACTGTGGACATAGAGCTTGGTTCTTCTAGGGAAACTGAAAGTGGGCATGGAGGTCTCAGGGGGGTGATGGAACTGGGGTATTTATGCACTAGCTCCTGTCAGCCACTGGTTGAGGCTGCTCCTGGGAGGCATTAATTCCCTGTCCCCAGCATAAAGATAACCAGAGAAAGTCCTCCAAAAAGGAAAATAAAAAAGGAGCTTCTGGCCGTTTGGAGTTATTCTGGTGTGCACTGGTGTGGTTTGAACAAGGAGGTACAGGCAGGGCACTGAGAGAGTGCATACGGGGGTACAAAATGGTGCCCATCTGTTCACAAGGGGCTTAAGTCTCATCAAGGCAAGATGTGAACATGTGGCAGAAATAGAGAGCAATCAACGGGATGCACTGACATGACAAAGAGGATCTGAACTGTGTGCCGTCAGAAAGACAAAACTGGCGACCACATGTTGTAAGAGTCCATTCGTGTAAGATGTCCCAAAAGGCAGATCTATAGACTGTTTGAGTAAGAAGCATCCGAATGTATCAATACATTGGTTCGTCAATTGTAACAAGTACATCACATTAATGCAACATGATAATTATAGGTGTTGGGGGGGGGGTGTGCTAACTATTTTCTGAACAATATTTTTGTAACCTAAAACTTCTCTAAAAAGTAGTCTATTCAATTTTTAAAGCTTTTTGAGGATCTGATACCTAATGATGTAAATTAAAGGTGGAGAAATAACTTTTTAAAAAGAAAAAAAATATCTAAACCAGGAGAGAATTTTTATGAGTTTATTTGAGCCTAACTGATGACTTTCCAAGGAAGCAAGATGTCAGATGCTCCAGAGAATGCCGGTTTTGCGCCTTCTCTTATCCGTTTGGAATTGAGGACAGAAAGTAAGGAAGATGACATGAGTGGGAGACAGACCAAGGCAAGGAAAGCTCTGTGGTTGGGTTATAGGATAGCTAACAGGATTATGTGCTCTTTTGGGGGTGGTTAAGCTTCTGGGGGATCTAAAAAAGAGCCATTTCACAGGTGTGTTAACCTAGACGCACAAGAACCATGTACAGGGCTTGCTTAAGGCAAAGATAACCTGTTAGCAGGGAAGTTATAGGCCGAGGGAGTGAACACCTACCATGACGTGCCCAGTTAGGAATTTGTGATCAGATCACCCTGTGAGGTGACTTTCCGTGCGATTTATTACAGGGCCCCCTTTCTGTCTAACGACCAAAAGGCAGATCCTGGAGCTGAGGGTGGGACCAGGGAGTGGCTGACTGAATAGGCTGGAGGGCTCTTCTGCAGGTGATGAAAATGTTATCAACTTGGGTTGTGGTGATGTCTGCACAGCTCCGTGAATGTGGTAAAACATCATTCGACCCTACACTTAAAATGAGTGAATGTAAGGTTTGCGAATTGTACCTCAGTAAAGCTGTTCTTAGAAAACGGTGCCTGCAGGCATGGGGATTCAGGGCCAGCCTTGCTCCTCTGTCTACCTGCGTACCTGCTCACTGCGCTGCCCCGGACAGCTTTGCTGTTGGAAATCCATCAGATGTTGCCTGTGGAGAGCTGGATAGTTACCTGATCTCTCTAGGTTTCACTTTCTTCATCTGGACAGCGGACAGCATTGGGGGTGTTTTCTGAAGATCACAGGAGTACCCAGAACCTCAAAATCTGATAATACTGCATTGTTACAAGGTGCCATTAGAGATGATTTCTTGGCAGGATGAAGCACAAATTCCATAAGGGGGTAGTCAGCCAAACAGAAGTGGACTGGGAAAAGCATCCTAGCCCCAGGACACTTTATAAAACGAAGGGACTTTAACAATGAATAATGTAACGCTGCTAATAAGAGCACAGCAGAGGCCATAAGGAAAAGTGCATCAGGGAAGAAACCGGCAGTGAGTAGCTTTCTGGATGTGAGGCTTTCAGTGATTTATGTGGTTGGTAGAAAACCTGGCTTCCGGAAACCTCTAACTGAGCTTGGGGAGGAATGAAAGGAATTTCCATTAGTTACTCCGGCTCTTATTCAATCCTTCTGATAACAAAAGAAAATGGAAACCGCTGAAGCGTGCTCCATTTCACCAAGATTACTGACTTGATTTGAGCAGGTTATAAGCTTAGGGGGGCGGGGGGCACCAGGCCTCAGATGATTGGTTGGATTAGGCCACACAGTCCTCAGTTTTAGTCAGCTCATTTCCAAATGCCAGTCCAGAAGTTTCTCTCGCATTAGACACCTCTAAGTAGCTCAGTTTTCTATCCCGATTTTCCCTCAGTGTCAGTGTTTTGAGATTGAAGTTTATTAACTGCTAACAAAATCAAGTCAACCGATTAAAGTTATTTGGAGGTGGGTTTCATGAAATATTACCTTATGGGTGTCTAATTTTCAGGATAAAGTTTATCAAAACAAGAGAATCCTGTATCTGACCAATCATTCAAATGACTTTGCTTATAGAAAATAATGATCCTACTGGTGATTTGTATTGTCTTCTTTATTTTTTCTGAATTTTACAAACATTTTAAAATATATTGGTGTTGTTTTACTTTACTTTAATTGTAGGCATCTTAATTTATCTAATTATACCAAGTAATGCATGAATAGTTTCTACTCATAAAAGAATCTACTCATAAAAAGTGAAGTCCAACCCCAACTCTTTTTGCTGCAGCTGTAACAGTTTAATGTGCATCCTATTTGTGCTTTATCATACTCATTTGTAGTTTCCATGGTATTATATGTTTTGATTATATGATATGTCTGGATGATCTTTAAAAATATATGTACATAATATATATTTATACATAAAATTACAAATATCATATATAGAATTTATTTGTAATGGCTGCATAGTATCCCAATAATGTAGCTTGTTTTACAGTTCTCACATTGATGACATTCAATTCACTTGGTTTTCCAGTTCACCAAGCATCCATTTTTGTAGGAGAGATTCCTAGAAGTGGACCAAAGAGTATCTGCATTTTTAGTTTCGACAGATACTGCCATAGTGCTGTTCACACAACCTAAACCATATCCATTCCCACCAGCAGTTTATGAGCGACTGGTTCTTTTACAAATACTGATTATCAATTTTTTTAAATTTGCCAATCTAATTGGCAAAATATATTCCATAATATATTCCATTTCTTGAGTGATAATAACGTTGAGGTTAGGCATATTTTCATATATTGATCATAAGTGTTCCTCCTTCTGTCTTTTGTCCATTTTACATGTTGCAAATATATTCTTCCAGTCTCTCTCCTAACTTTTATTTCTGTGATATCATTTGTCATACAGAGATTTTTTTATTTTCTAGCTTTTAAATCTGTCAACTTTTTCTTTATGGCCTTTAAGTTTTGGTTAATTTAGTAAGGCCTGTTCCATGACAAGATTATAAATTATTCTCTTGCATGTACTTGTAAATCTTTAACACTCTCATAAAATTAAAACTTTATTCCATTGAGAATTTTTGTTTTATTTTGTTTGAGGTATAATGTGAGGGAGGGCTTCAACTTCATTTTTTTCCAACTCGGTAGTCAACTGCCTCATTATGGAATGATAAATTCTTCCCCCACTGACTTGATACTCCACTGGGAAGTTAGCAATTCCTACAAAGCAGTTAGAAAGCTCCATGCTGTGCAGACACCATTGTGTCCTGGAATTCTATCCATGTGCCTACTGAGGCTAGACCTTTAGGGACCTTGAAGGGAGGATGCCGTGTTATGGCCTTTAGTGGAATGTTACAAAAAAGAGGCAAGCTTCGAAGTAAAGGAGAGGCCTAGAAGGCTAGAAAAATGGGGATCTATTGCTCAAAGACTAAATCCATCAGGTCTATGTCAGGATTTCAGGACCAAGACTATGACTGACCATAACGACAGAATGTTAAGGACTCAACGATCACTAAAATGCGGGCTCCTCAGGATGGGGACTTTGTCTTTTTTCACTGTCAACCGTTAGAACAGTGGCAGGCACGTGGTAAGTTGAATGAATGACTAAGCATTCATTTCAAGCATTACTAGTCTAAGTATTTGATTAAATGCAAATTGGATGAAAGGATACCCGAGGTTTTTTTTGTTTGTTTGTTTTTTAAATATATTTTATTGATTTTTTACAGAGAGGAAGGGAGAGGGATACAGAGTTAGAAACATCGATGAAAGAGAAACATCGATTCAGCTGCTTCTTGCATGCCCCCTACTGGGGATGTGCCTGCAACCCAGGTACATGTCCTTGACCGGAATCGAACCTGGGACCCTTCAGTCCGCAGGCCGACGCTCTATCCGCTGAGCCAAACCGGTTAGGGCAGGATACCCGAGTTTTATGGGACTTGTATAGCCAGAGAAACCCAAAGCCTTTCCAACAATGTAATTTGGGTGGCGTTGACCCCCTCATCCTCAGCTCCAGGGTTGGGCACAAGACCCAGTTATGGCCAGTTGAAGCTGTCTCCAGGTGCAGTGATTGTAGAAATGGAGACATGACCCACACCAAGTCCATTTCCTCTCTGGATCAGCTGTGACTGCTTCTGGATCTTTTCAGATACTTGAGATGATGAATGCCCTTTCTCTGCTTTAGAGGGCGAGACTTGATTTGTGCCACTCATAACTAACAGGAAACTGATTCATACACGTAGTCTACAGGTTTATTTATCCAGGAATTCAAAACAGGATGTCAAATCAAGATACAAACTTTTCAAGACTTTCCTCACTGATTTAGTTAACGTGGTGGGAGCTACGAAATTGGAGGCAAGCATGCTCCTTTCTATCTTTAGTTCACTTGCAGTTTAACCTCTGGCGTAGGCTGAGCTGCGGTGTGAATCAGTCACAGTGCCAACAGTACTTGGGAACTTTGAGAAATGAGCTGTCAAGTTGCTCACGTGAATAGGGAGCAGAAAGTCTCCATGACCTTGCAGACTCCTGACCGCTAGTATTATTCTTTGCCTGTTTAAGATTTTTATTCTTTTGCCGGAGAATTTCCTAAGGCCCTGTCCTTGACCTTCAGCTCATTCTTTAAGATCATTCTCTCTCTTTTTCTCTCTCATCCACTGCCATCTCTCCATTCCCTTCCTTTGGTTAACACTCATCTTTCAGGAAGGAGGTAACTTGGCTTTAAAAGATGAGTAGGGATTGTTTTGGTGGACGAGGGGTAGAATGGGGGGCACCATGCCAGCACATTCCAGACAGAAGTAACAGCACGTGTGAACGCAGGGAGAAATGGATATATAGCAATATCATTGTAATAGTAGAGTTTAACTCCCCTTTATTAATGTGCAACAAATCAAATAAAAGCAAATGACTGAAGAAGCAAAGGATCTAAGCAATACAGTTAATAGGGTAACTTAATCAATCATATAGGAACTGTACGTCACAAGGAGAAATTATGTCCTTTTCTTCTCCCAGACTTTTATTTGGAAAATGTTTAAACTTAGAGCAGAGTGACAGGAGTGGTATTCTCCACCGGGATGCTTGGTCTGGTGCCAATGAGGATATAAAATCACAGATGTGGCTGAACACGTGCTGTTTCCTGGATGCCAGTTTTCTTTGAGGATTTTCAGGGAAGAAAAACACTATTTTTATAAGAAAGCCAATTTCAATATTCCTGAAGCAAAATGCAAACATCTCGTTATTTCTTAAGATGATGCTCAATTCTTCAAAGATGATTTTCAAAATCTCAGAGAAATACATTAGTTCTCCTCAGCCATTAGGAAGACTTGGGTGGAAATGTCTGAAAAGCACAAAGTCCACAATTTCTAATTTGCACCCCCCCCCCCCCCCCCCCACACACACATCTCCAGCCTCACCATCACCACTTCACCCACATGACCTGGGCTTCAGCCTTTTGGCCTGTCACATCTTTTCCCCATATTCCTGCCTTAGCATCTGCTTCACCCCTGCCTTGAATCATCCTTGAAAATCCAAGTTAAGTTTTACTTTCTCTTTGAAACTTTTCTAAACAGAACGGAGTGTTAAGAGCATATCTTTGGAGACTCCGATAAGCATGAAGAATACTGTTTCCAGTCTGTCCCTCCCTTTACCAGTAAGAGTCCCTTACCAGTTGTCCTGGGACGTGCAGGGATCTCTGGGCGTAAACTTTCCCTGGCCCGAGGGTCAGAAGTGACAAATACCACAATCAAAGGGAAGTTCTCAGAGACATTGCCAGGTTCCACCACTTCTGTTTTCCTTCAGCCACAGCAAAATAGGGGCTGCTCTTTCAGAATGGACCCTGGAATGAAGAACACACGGAGAAACGCTGTCACCAATATGCAGCTTACATGTAATGGGACTGAGAAATAAACCTTCGTTGTTGTGAGCTACTGGGTTTGCAGGTATGGGAACAACTTGGAGTCCCAGTTTGTTTAAACTGAAGACATTTGAGATTCAACAGATGAAGGGGGTGGGGGAGGAAAGTCTTCGTAGAGCTTCTCTAAGCTTATTTTTTCTTCTTGTGAAGAACTAATAGGATGACCATTGCACATTAGCATTAAGTCACAGTAATGCATCTTCTTTTTCAGAAGATAAATTATACATATTGCAGTGATAAAAGGGGTGGGGATATTTGCTAAATCCCTGTGAGAAACCTCTCTATCTAAAATGTATGATCCCTTACTGTTTTGATGTTTCCATTACAGAATAAATAAGGAAGCGTCCATTCAATGTGTTTGAAGTCCTCATTTAGAACTAGGAGTAGTTGTCACATGGCCCATGGTTGCTGCCCCAGGAGAGGTCATCAATGGGAGGTGAGTCCCTCTCCTTCTTGAGGCCGGCACCTGGCCCTCCCTGAGAGGTTGGCTGTGGGTCACAAGCTACATGTCTGTATCTGCCACTAAGATCAAGTAAGCAGAGTCTCCAAATGCTCAGATATTTGGAAAATTCATCTAAGAGCAAGGAGCTGTAAAATTTATAGATACTTGTAGATTTTGTTGAGCAAATTGAGGTAGCAAATAAAAGACATGATACAATAGCCATTTAACTGGTTGTTACTTATCATTGTGCAGAAACCTCCATCTCATTAAGTGTTAAAAAGAATCACGGTTGAAACAAGAGATACCATGAGTGTGTGACTGTTGTAGCTGGGTTATGGGCACATGGAACTTTCTTCCAATTTACATATAATTTGAATTTTTCCATAATGAAGGGTTCAGAAAAAGAGAGAATCAAAGTAGGCTTATTCTGGAGAAGAGGGAAGTCACGCGACCTTAGCTAGTGTTTAAACAACTGAGGAAATCACTTAACTTTCTGAGCCTCAGTTTCATCTGTGATATGGAATTAATAATACCTCTCTCAGAGAATAGTTTCTTAATAAGGGGCTTCAAGGACAATACCCTTTTGTCTGCCAAACAAATACCTGTTTGTAATGAGAACTTCTTCTCTGGCTACTAAAGGAACCCTCAAAATATTTGAAGTCTCTAGGTTGGAAGTTTGCAGCCTCATTACAATGCATTTGGATTTTGCAGCAATGCTGTTTTAAATATAAATATGCGATTGGCTTTTAGGGAAATGTTTTAAAGGGCCGGGAGGAGAATTTTGTCTAGCAGCCCTTAATGGCTTGTCTGTTCTCTGTGGATTTGTGACTCCAGCCCGGCTGCCTTGTGGACCACTCCTCAGAAGACGCCAGTCTCCTCAGCTGACCCATAGGAGGGGGCCCCAAAGGCCATCTCAGCAGGAAGCAGGACAGCCTGCGAATCTGCATGGCTACGCTGAACCTGCTGAAGTTCAGGGTTGACTACAGTGTTCCTCCACTAACCAGAGGAGGTTTCCCGAGGAAGGAGGTCCCCTGAGCACCCCTCCATCTCCTCCACCAGCAGCAGGCACGGACACTTCTGCCCCTGACGGTTACAGGTTGCAATCTTTAACTGCCTTCTTTGGCTAGAGGTGAATTCTCTCTGTTCTTTCCCACCGAGTCTTGGGAGGATGGCAGGTAATTAAGAGGGGGAAAGACCCTGCTTCTATTTCACTTTGAAACTAGACATTTCTTCCTTAACTCAGACCAATGCAGATAAACTACTAAAGAACGCGTCGCTGCTCTCAATCAGTATTCGTCTTCTTTCTCCCTGAGTCCCCACAGGTCTGTGCTTAAGCATTTGGAATGTTCTGTTACAGCATTTAGAACATGTAGTGTATCATTTCTTTTCCCTCTTAGACAGTGAGTTCGAATATAAGGTAGATGCTCAATGAATGTTTTGTAATGGAGGGATGGATGCACGGATAGATGCATGGGTGATGGAAGGACGGGCATTTGGGTGAATTAGTGACTGTACAGGTGAATGGATAGAAGGCTCTCTGCAAGCCAGAAAAGAGCCCTGACAGACCCGACTTTTCTAGTCCTATGATTATGGACTTTCCAGCCTCCAGAACTGTGAGAACTAAATGTCTGCTGTTTAAGTCACCCAGTGTAGGGCATTTTGTTAAAGCATCCCCCCTCCCCCCAAAAAAAGACAGTTTATTTCTGCTTACGAGTATATTTTTGCATTCAGCTCTAAATGCATGTGAGCTTGCTTATGTCTTTGTGCAGGTATTTAAGTGTTTCTCCTTCTGGGTGAAGTTTAATTGAAAGAACCAGTAATGGCATTTCTGTAAAACAGATAATAGCATGTATCTCATAAGATTGTTGTAAGTGTTAGGTATGAATATTATTTTACGGTGATCACTATTCCTAGATTTGAAGTAAAGTTTAATTTACTTACGTACCTACTACATCATCATTTATAAAGGAAGGTTTTTTTTGTTTGTTTTTAATCCTCACCCAAAGAGGATTTTTTTCATTGATTTTTAGAGAGTAGAAGGGAGAGGGAAGAGAGGAGAGAGAGAGAGAGAGAGAGAGAGAGAGAGAGAGAGAGAGAGAGAGAAGAGAGATACATCGTTTGGTTGCCTCCCACAGGTGCCCTGACTGGGGGTAGGGACCAAATCGGCAACCCAGGTAAGTGCCCTTGACTGGGAATTGAACACTCCAGTGTGCCGGAGGATGCTCTAACCACTGAACGCACTGGCCAGGGCTATAAAGGTGATTTTAATGGTTAAGACTGACTTTGGATCTCAGCTTTACCCACTGTCTATTCCTCCAGCCAGCCAACCATCTATCCACCCATCCCCTCAGTTTCCCCATCTGCAAAATGGACATAATAAGAGTATATTCCTAAAGGGTAGGATGAAGTAACCCATGTAAACTACTCAGTACAATGCCCAGCATAGAGTAAACACATGCTAAATGCCAACCAATAGAAAGAGCACTGTGCTCTGTTGGAAATGATGGTGCTCGTGGGGAGCAAATTCACAGATTCAGGTGATGGAGAGGCTGCAATGCAGATGGCCCCGTGGGTGTCTTCACAAGGCTCCTTCCTCTTCCTGGGAAGAAAGGGAAGATCAGCCACATTGGGGCTGTGATGAAAACACCCACCTCCATACACACTCACACACCCATGGGTGAGATAGATGAATGGTCATGGCGGACAGTGTTGGCTTTCTCCACTGAGGAAGAATTCGGGCTTAACGTAGCTGGAGGATAAGCCTATGTTGACAGTTTCCCTCTGCAACGGGGTTGAACAGGAATTCTTTCTGTGTATGTGGGATGACAGACCTTTGTTGATCCTTTATTGTGCTTTTCGACTGAGTTTCTTAACACATTTTTAACACCCGTGTTTATAAAATAAGATGAACTAGACACACACAAAAATATATTTACCCTCCCCCCCCAAAGTAACTTATCTAGGTGAGAAAGTTTCTTATTTTCTTGGAGCCTAAACTTTCTCATGTATAAAATGAGAAGGTTAGATTAGCTGTAACTCTGTGTCTGGTTTTCTGGGTGTACCTGGCACTCTCAATGGGGTTCCCTAATTCCTGGACCCTGTCCCAATTGTGTATGAAATATTTTTCTCAACTGTTGTTTGGAAGGAAAATACTGATATTAAATGTCACTCGGGGACCGTCTCCCAGGTTCAAGTGCCCTGCTGTCTCCATCTGCACACCAAAGACCAGAGGCTGCTGAGTAAGGCAATACCTGATTGGCAGATGCAGGGAAAAGGACCAGGGAAACTAAGTGATTATAAACCTCTACCTGCACCAAATCTTTCCCCTGCTGGGACTGTTGGCCAACCCCTACTCCCATCATCTCTTCAAGGAACGTCCGGGCTGTGTGCTTATTAATAAGAAGAACAGTGTAAGCTGGGGTGCTACACTGTTACAGCAGCCAGCAATGACCACGTGCTGGGCATTATCAGTAAGACCGTTAAAGCTTATCTTATCCCCTCTCTTTCAAGATTGTTCTTAATCAGGACTCCTGTCAGCTTGGGGCCCTGTTCCAGCTTTACCAGCTGATAGAATATGGAAATACTACAGTATTGGTTGGTAGCTAGGTGATGTCCAGGACCACCGAGTGCCTCCCATCTACCCACCACTCTGGCCCAGGTAAGGCACCTGAGGGGCTGGCCCTAGTGTCTACCCATTAGCAACCTGCTGGGGCTGCAACAGCTCCCACCCCAGTTGTTACCCCCACACCCATGGGAAATTCACAGTGCCCACCTGGCTTTGCCAGGCTGTGATTACCTGCTGACATCTGGCTCTCTCTGTAATTATGGTAGCTGATTGTCAGAGTGGCCTCCATGGTGTATAATTCAGGTTATTCAAGATTTTGAACGCCACCCCTGCCTCTTTTTTTTGGGGGGGGGGGAGGTACCAACTACAACAAATTAAAACAAACCCAAATAAAAGTTCTTTATAGCCTAACTGGTTTGGCTCAGTGGATAGAGCATCAGCCTGCGGACTGAAAGGTCCCGGGTTCCATTCTAGTCAAGGGCATGTACCTTGGTTGCGTGTACATCCCCTGTGGGGGTGTGCAGGAGGCAGCTGATTGATGTTTCTCTCTCATCGATGTTTCGAACTCTCTCTCTCCCTTCCTCTCTATAAAAAATCAATAAAATATATATATTTTTAAAAAGATCTTTATGAATCTCCCCAGAAATCAGATGGTTTTCATTTTTACCTGCTGTCTTAAAGACCATATTTGTATACATCCATATTTATTACACAGTTGTAATCATAGCAAAGTTCATTTTTGTGTCTTCCTTCTTATACTTAACATTGTCACAAGCATTTTTCCAAAGTAATTTATATCGTTTTCAAAATTATTATTCTAATGATTTAATAGGTGCCACTTTGATTTAAGCCAATTTTCTGTGCTCTAAAACTTACGTGTGGTGGGTGTGGAAGAGAGAGAGAAAAGAAAGACAA